AACTAATATACATTTATATTATATTATACGAGTAGGTATTTGTTTCTTTCATGTTATTTATATTTATTTTTGTAAAGCGTATTTTTGTAAGTCGTATAATTAATAGTTATTAATATCATTACGTACAACGTATAAACATGGTTATTTTGGTAAAATGTGAATACCTACCCTGAACAAATACATCATTGAGACAGTCCTATATCATAGAAAAAATATTAAATAGAAAGGCAACTGCCAAACAGAGTAGTGATACAACGAACTGTTGTAGAACACCCATCGAGTGTCCTATTAACTACACTATCGATAGTGCTGGATTATCGATTAAAGCAACTATCGATAGTTCACTATCGATTACTGTTTTTACTATTTTGTTTTACCATTATTTTTATTATTATACCAAATATATAGATTATAAGCCCAAAATATTCACATTTTAAAGTGAATAAATAAATAAATTCCACAATTTAACAAGTAATTAAATATATTAAAAAAAACATTTTCAATAATTACATTTCAGGCATAATACCATAATATTATAATACAAAGCTACTAATAGTTTACATTTTGACGAAGTAAAACTTTATTTTTTGGAATATTTATTATTATACAAAATAGCAGATTGTTTAATGGGGTCTGATGAATTTGATCTTTCTCCTTTGCTTAAAATTCTATTTATATTATTAATGTAAGAATAAGTTAAAAGTTTACAAGCAGTATTTATGAAAATTTTACTTAAATCATGATTTGTACACTTAAAATTTTCAATTTTCACACATTTTGAAATCAAACTAAGAAACTCATTAAAACCATTATTTTTAAATACATACTTATGAAAATTTGAATTAAAAACCTGTATAATGAAACTATATAAATCTATTGTTTCTTTGTCAGGGTATAATAAGTTACAATCTATGTATTGGCGAGCTTGAATAATAAAATGTTCTTTAGTTGATAATTTTGATATGCAAACTGGACAATTTTTTGTTATTTTTTTAATAATCCAGCCACTGACGTATGCTCTACTGCTAGAGTTAATTAAACTTCCAGTTTGCTCTAATGTAGTCAATGGCTCATGTTGGGCAGAACAATTTTCTGTATCTTCATTTTCTTCATTACTAGGGATTTCATTGAACAAAAAATCTTTCAAATTATCTAAAATTCCATCACTGTCATCATCCTCACAATTTGCACCAACAGAATGAGTAGAAGTAAAATTATTTATTACTAGAGCTTTAAATGATGAAACAAAATTTGCAGGTGTTGGGTTGATGTTCCTTAATCCGTGACTTCTAATAGATCCAAAAAAAATTCAATAGGGTCCTGATTGAAATTTCTCAGAAGAACATATTTGAAACCGGCATTGAGAAGTCACTTACAAATGAATTGTAGCCCTTGAATGGTAGTTATCCAGTTGGTAATTGATGGAATTTTTTTTGCTGTGTCATATTTCATACTTTGTAGAACGTCTAAAGCTTTACTCCAAAAATCAAAGTGAGGAGAAGTCAATGTGACTGCACTACGAAGTTCTTTGCCGGGTGTTGATTTTATGACATTTCCATTCACACTATCAAACAGGTTTTCAACTAACAAGCACAACTGACCAGTATCCGCAGCTTCTCGATCAATACCTATAAAGATATAAATTAAAGCAATTTAGATATACATTTGAATTAATGAAATAAGTTATGTTAAGATTTTGTAAATTTTAGTTATTAACTCACTCGGTGAGCAATTGTTTGACATGACAGCCATCTTCTTCATTATTGCACCAACACGTTGACTGAAGACATGTGCAGCATGTGAAACTTTCATTTTTTTCATCTTCTCTGGGTAAATATATCCGTCAGTAAGTTTAGGTACTAAACGATCTCCTTCTGTGCTCTGTTCTTTATCAAACTCATAAAACAGAGCGATATGTTTCCAAGAAGCTTTTTTTTTGGCTTTTATCATAAATAAAACTCAAATCTTTTGTTAAAAGGTTGTTTCGAAGACCTTTCAATAGATGTGGGACATCGAATAAAGGAATGATATCTTTATCATTAATTTCAAACCCAAACACACGGTTTTCTTTTCCTTTCTTCAAATATTGACTGTTGATTTCTTGGCGTAATTTATTTATGGCAGACACGTTAGTAGGTGCTTGGTCACACACTGTAGATATCACGGTAAGGCCAGTTGATTGTACATCTTTAATCACTTCCTTTATTATATTGGCAAGAGTTGTACTATTCATTTGGCTGTTAGTAAAGTAAAAGGCAACTGGCCGTTTAAATTGTTTTCTGATACCTCGAACAATAAATACCAGAGCTTTATCAGCAAATTTAGGTGAACGATCACATTGCCCAAGGTCTTCAAAACCAATAACCTTTCTAACCGATTCATTGAATTGTAATTTAATTTTTAAGTAGTTTGCTTTGGAGTTTATACAGATGCTTTTACAGAAAATATTGAGCGAACCACAAATAATATACCTATAATTCTTTGATAAAAACAAATATATGTTATGTTATAGGTATTATAATATAATATCATGTAAAAAAAAAAATGTGTCTACCTGGTAAATTTAAAGTTGGCACAGCATTATTATTCAATCTCTGTAATCCAATGGTTTTGTAACAAGAATCAAAATGTTTGTCACGCATTACAAATTATTTATAAACATCATCAACAGTTTTGTTCAATAATTTGTAGTTGCCAGACCTCTGTACCCAAATGTTAAACCTGACCGTATCCTTAGGAAAACAATGTCGTCGTGTTACTTTTTCTGTGTACGTGGAGTCACAATTTATAACAACACAAGCGGTAGAAGGCATTTTAATTGTCACAAATATTTATTATTAATTTATACAAACATATAATAAATAAATGCACAGAATTCAAACGCAATACACAAGATATTTCAATAAGTTCAAAGAGCAAAATAATTAAATGTGTATAAGAATTGAATGTAAAAAAATCAGACTTGATGTTTTTAGCACTAACCACAAAAAGGAAAGTGAAAAATTTCGCACCTTTAAAAAAAATTTAAAAGCCTCTATAATATTTTAATTTGAGGTTATAACGTTATGTTTACTATGATCAGTAATACCTAGGTCTGGGAGATTTAGATTTTTTGGTATGTTGGCAATGGGCTTGACTGATCGCCGTCACTAGCGACTGTCCTAAACACTACGTATCAGAGTATATCAGTTCCGTCCTATAGAGTTACATACCCCTGACCTATATCCTAGATACATAATATTATAATATAATATATTGATTCTTATGGACAGCTAAAGTGAATACAGCGTAATTGCGTAATATTATATAGATCAAACAATTTGGTATTAATATATAATACATTTTATAATTAAATCTAAATTAAAACACTACAATTTATTAAAAAAAAAACAAAATAAAATAGTTACCTCTGTTGAAATCGTTTTTTTCGTCTCATAAACACCATGTAGAAATACCATGGCGTTATAGGCAAACCAATCTGGTTTGAAGACATCATTAGTACCACTACCAGTACCCTTACTTACTCTGACTTTGTTTAAAAGTATTCTGTAAGTAGCCATCAGTGAGTCTTTTTTATTTTTCATTTCTGTAATATCAGTTTTGATACTAAAATCATTGTTGAAAGTGAAGCTTGACGGACTAATGATGTTAGCATTAATATAATAAGTAATAACACGACAATATGATTATGTATAAGTATAATATATAATAACGTACAACTGGACAATTAAACTGTGACAGTACACACACATCGTATACGCTCTGTACGACGACGCCTGTGCAAGTGAGTATTACATACATCAAAGACCATAGATATATAGATATAGATATATGCACGACCGAGGTCATGTTACATCCGTGAAGGGAGTGAGTCTTATGCTTGTATATAACTAGTTACTAAATTGTACACACGTGTCAAGGCTGACTACTTATACTACAAATTAATTGTATATTTCAACAATCATTACAAAAATACAAAAATAAGTAAATAAAAACAAATATTTTATTTCAATAAAAATAAAAAATAGTTTGCTAGCTAGGTACCTACCTTAGTTTGCTTTCTATGGCTTTCCAAGCATCGTCAACTATATTTCTGTTTCTATGATCTCTATGGCGTGGATTCCAAATTGCCGGATGTGCTTCGTATAGTCCTAGAAACTCTAGGACCTTATCATTGGTCCATTCCATTTGTTTTTTATAATTTAATTCTCTTCAGTTCAATTCAATATGTATTTTGAAATGCATACAAAATTTAAATAAAATAAAAATTCACCACAGTAGCTAGGCTCGCCAAACTGCACGCCTGTGGGAACGATGTTTAAATGCGCTGCTCGTTTACTTTGGCACGTACACATCGGACCGACAATTTTCGGATAGACACGAGCCTAGCCGAGCTATACCGCGCCTAGAAAAGCAAGAGTAGTATACCAAGCCAGCGAATTTGACTCGTGACTCTCCGAGCCAAGCGCCGTGGGAACCCGCCTTTAACTAGCACAAATTCCGTAAGCGACTGTCTGGGCGTTTGTCTTGTTGACACGATGTCGGCAGAGCGGACTGGAATCCGCAGAGTCCCGATAGGTTGTCCGTATTTTTTTGACTTGCTGTGGGGCTTGTCAGAATACCCCCTTACGACATTGCGAAAATCTGGCTGGCGTTCGTGTTTTCCAGCGTTGGCGTAGTGGGTGGTTTTTGTTCAGCCCTATGTATATAATATTAATAGATTGAAAATATTATAAAATATTGAAAATACTAGTATTTATAATCAATGATATTAAACAATAGGTATTATGTTTATGTCATTATTACATAACATATTAACATTAATTAAATTCGTAAATTAAATTCGTGACACGTGTTTTAGTCATAGTCAACTAAAATTATAGATGTTTATACTATAAAAAATTAAAATAAATGTAATTGTTCCACATATAAAATAGTTATAGTCTATAAATCACAAAAATATGTTTCATAATTTAAAAAAAATAAATACAATTTAAATATTAATCTGATGGACGCCCGATCTGACGTCTCAGATACCCATCATTAGCATGGCCCATTTGTGTAAGACATCTAATAATGTTGCCATGTTCATTAAGCTGCTCAATAGCTCTTTTCAACATATGAGTATTGGTAGCCCGTTCACTTCTAGAAGTTTGATCTCGGATCTAAACATAAAATATATAATGATAAGGTATGTATATAATATATTTTAATAATTTATATACTGTTAAAATATTTTAAAAACAAAATAAGTACTGTTAAGTTTTTGCTTTCTTGTATAAATTCTACAAAGAATTGATTTTCTAATATTCTTAGTTTCTCTATAAATAATAAAGTGTAATTAATTTAATTTAATTAATTTGTATAGAAATAACAATACTTTAAAGATTCTTACGTAAAAAGTCCCAGATATTTGGGTGATTTCCAAAAAACCTTAACAACTGACTATGAAAGGACTCCAAGTAATTATTAGTCCTTATTTCACTACCAAAGACACTAATAAAAGCTGGTCCAACTTGATTCAGCCAAAAATTTTGGATGTATCTATTAATTAATATTAGTAGTTAAAAAAAAAACTAAAATAATACTATAAATTTATGTGTGTATTTTTCATTATTATGCATTAATATTAATGTATGATATTAATGCTTATATCTTTTTTTTTTCAGATTTATATCAACTTCATGTTTAACTGAATCATTAGTTATGTATTTGAGTAAACATACTCAAATAAAAATGTTTGCATGCGATTGTACACGTCTGGATACTGCTGGATATAGGCTACAATTTCTCTAAAGCCATCTTCAATACAAAATTGTTGGTAATCTGCATGACCTCTGGTAGCTGGTAGATGGGCCAGTGCTAATATCTAAAGTATGGGTGTTTGTTAAAACTTTCATTTTAAAAATAGGTAATATAATTTAATACATTACCATGCGCAACACATTAGCATCTATAACATTGGTCTTGATAAGGTCATATACCAAACTATTTTTTCGGCGGCAGTATCGTACAATTGACTGGAACATGTAATTATATAGGTGTTATAAGCATATGAAATTACTTAAATGTTAAATTGTATTCTTCGCTTGGAAAAAATGGAACCAGCAGCATTGTAACCGACTTTCAGGAAACACTGTTGTAACTGCATTCATCAATCCACGCTCGAAATCGGTAATAATTGTTAAATTACCATACTTTAATGGTAGTAAATGACGGACTATTTGAAAAAATGCTGTATACGACTCTTCTGTGGCACTGTTCAAAAGTTCATACACCATCGGGAAAGACTAAAAAGTAAGGGTTAAATCCTTTAAGTTTAAAGTTAATAGTTACTTCTAAAAAAAAAAATGAACTTAACTTATTAAATTGTTAATGCCCACTTTTGTAAACTTACAACATTTTTGTACACAACATGGAACGTCATTAAAGAACCTCTTCTCAATTGTTTAGGTGTACTTGGAACTGTTTTAAAGGTGCCATCACATCCTGCAGACTTGACAGCTTGGAGTTCCTTGCTAAACCTGTGGATAAACTGAATAGGTATTGGCAAATATAACTCCTACAAATACACCTTCTAAAATTAACGCCTGTTGAAAAAATTTTGATGGTGGTTCTTGTAGAGTTGTGGAATAATGGTTGTGTTCTTGCATATTAAATAGATTCACCAATTCTTGAATTGTCTCTGGAATTTTTGGTCTTCGACGGTTCCGCATTCTTTTGCTCCTCAGCTGAGCTTATTGGAATGTATATCCCCAACTTCCACGAGGATGACTAAAAAGTATAAACGTATAAGGTAATTATCTACTATTAGTGACTATTATCATAGGCGTAACCAGACCTCAAAGTTAGGAGGGGGCTTCAGTCCTATTTTTATAATAAATAAATTAAGTGGGGGACTCTCCCCCCACAGCCCCCAAAACCATATAGTTTTAAGCATTCCATATATATATTTTTGTAATAGTGATTGATAAATGTATAAGAATTATGATAGGAGGGGGCTAAAATATAAGTTAGGGGGGCTTAGCCAAGTCCCCCCCCTAGTTACGCCTATGACTATTATATAAGTTTCTTTACCTAATGATTTTTTCATTATAGATTTGCCTGATTGGCAGAGACATAGCGCCTATTGCTATTGAGCGTTTTCCTACTGCTTGCCTCAAGAATGGCATATCCATGTCAACCTCAACAGCTCCATGGTTGTGTCCACCAGGCTGAAGATCTAAATGATTCCCTTGATTGTTAATGTTAATAATGGCGGTTGTTGCACAATATTGTTCTGCTTTCTTAGTTCTTTGTTTTTCACAAATCAAGTACCTTATGACAGAATCTAAGTATAACTATTAAAATATAAAGGATAAGTTCAATATACTAACATTTTATTCCTTACAACACTTTTCTTATAATATTTATAATTAAAATTGTCAATGTATATTTTGGAGTTATTGTGTACTCCTGGTATGATTGTGTATGTGCGATTACGTTGTAAGTTTTCTAAAATGAAAAAAATTAATTAAAATTAAATATCAATGACTAAATAAATATTAATAACTATAACAATTATTTTTATAAAATATAAATACTAATTACCAGCTTCATAATTATCTATAGGTTCTTCATTTTCATCATTTTCATCATTTTCTTCAATTACTAAATTATATTATATTTATTTAAAGTATATTGTAGCAAGTTAAATTATATTTGTAAATTACCTTCATCCAACTCTGAATCTGAACAATTATCTTCAACTAAAAAATTTAATTTAAGTAGTACCCTAACTATTTACTTAAGTTTAACTTGTTAATGCCCAGCCTTTAGTATTTGGAAATGAAAATTTAATTATTTTTACTTGCTATATAATAATTGTGATCAACTATGTGTCTGTCTACTGCAATTTGACCAATATCTGCATATGTATGGTCATTTAACACATCTTCATTGCAATTCTCCATAGTTTTTATTATAATTAAACAATCTTTTAGATTAACACTGGTATGTGTTGTCGTATTGAGCAGTGGAGATACTTTAAAGAATTATATGTTACCTTGTTTTACTCAATATATTATGTTACTCACTACTATAAGGTGACACAATGGTGACTGGGAATTGGGATAATAGTGTAATCTTAATGGTTATTGAGCATATAATAGTAGGATCCAGAAATTCCTTCCAAGATCAGGTTTTATAATTATAGGACATAGGTATCTCATTTTCTCAATACCTATATAAAAATACACATGGAAATTCTAAAAACAATTTGTTAATAAATAAATAAACACAGTTTGGAAAGTTGTTGGTTATAATTTTCCAATAATATTGTAGTCAGTCCAAAGGATGGTGATTTTGAAATAAGCGGTAGACAATTTGAACAGTAAATTTAAATAATGTATATTTCTATAGTATAAATTGTACAGTAGTTTAGATTGTGAGTAGCTGATGCTGCTCTGGTCTTAACAGCTTAATTTAATTTGTGATTAACGTCTTTCTAAATGTTGTTATTCTTATTTTTAAATAAATTTATACATTCACTTGTAAAGATTGTGTTTTATATGAATTGGACCACCTGAATTGCCCTGTAAGATCGTAATTATAAATTGTAATAAAAGAAATGTTTATCAAAAACGTAATTAATAATTATTTGTATAGAAATTACACATACTTACTCCACAAATGCCTTTTCAATCTCCTGAATGGAACTGGAAGTTGTAAGAAAAACTGGAATTTGTAACAAATTACACACACACATGAAGTTAGCAACGAAAGCTCCGTGCCAGTTGACTGAAGAAACACAAATTATAGTGGTTTTCTCCCATGATCAACACAACACAACACACCAGATAACAGTTGTCAGTGTTAAGCACCGTCTAACATACACACAACACTACACTGAATCCTGTTTGCGGTGCAAACAAATGAAGTCCAGCCATCTGTGGTTATGCAAACTGCCGAAACATTTATTAATTGATTTTTAACTTTTTCAATGGTCATCTCATGCATTTGATGCAATAAGCTCTAGGTGACAGTTTTTCTTGATGTTAAGATATAACTTGAATTTAAAATTTGAATCAAATTTCTAAATTCCTTATCCTCAACAACACTGAATGGGTGATATTCTTTTATAATCATTTTGACTAGTTGTTGGTCAATTGCCTTTGACTTACTCATTGTAATTGGTCTTTGAACAAAGTTTGTCATAGGCATTTGCTTACGGTTTGGCTGTCTTGGAGGCTGTGGCATTGTTCCTAAAGTAGGTTGATTTTCCATATTTGTTGAGGAAGTTGATGGCTGTGGGTCATCAATTGAGCCAGAGTTTGAATCATCGTCCTATGATTTTAAAATTCATTTTTATTATTATTTTTTTACTATTGTATTCTATTACTATTTTTAATAAATTCTGGCTAATAAAATACAAACGTAGTTAATTAGCAAAATATCTTAGACGTAGTACACACAATGGCTAGTTTGTCAAAGGACTAAAAATTAAAACCTATTAATGAATTAAAGTTTTGAAATTTAAAACAAATCTTCAGCATGTTTTTGTAAAACGAGAAGATGTTTCTACAGGTTACAATATTAATGAAAATAAATGTATTGATAAAATATTTGTCCATTATTTATATACACAATGTGGTGCTTACATTGCATTTCCATAAACATAGGGATGGTTAGGTTCTTATTATAAAAAAAAAAATTTTTACATTTTTAGTCCATTTACAATTTTGTAAAAGAACTAATATAAGATTTTTATAATTAGGTATTTTTAATTTTTGTAATAAAACCCGGTCTTAAAAAATAAAACACAAACTCAAAAATTTGACAAAATAATTTATTATTAAAAGATAATAATTTATTGTATTACAAACATAATTTATTGTATTACAAATATAATACAAAATAATTAATACTTATTATTAAAAATAAATAAAATGGTAAGTGCTACCTATACAACTTATTAACTTATCTATTTATTTACAATATTAGATAGTATAAACAAGCTATAAAAATAATAATAATATACAAAATTAAAAATTATTTTTTTTTTTATTAAATATGGATGAGTTTGAAAAAATAAAAATATTACGTAAAATGTCAACGATTAGTGTGTTTGTTATTACATTTTGTGAATCAGTTACAAATTTGAAATTACAAGCGTTTTTGATAAGTTTCTTCTTCCTTTAGGTCCGAATAATACCTATAATATCAAACGACTCATAACAAAATATCATGTAAGTATTAAAGTATGTAACGTTGTAACGAGTTACGAGTAACGACCAGCCAGTCACAACTCACAAGACCCGTGAACCATCAGTCACAACTCACAAGACCCGTGAACCATCAGTCACAACTCACAAGACCCGTGAACCGTTTATCATGTTTCACAATTCGCAGGAGTCACAGACTACTTTCAACCGGTATCTGGATAATCGATCTTTCAGATCTAATATGATCCAATTCAGACGAAGGGGTCTTTTAACCGGATCATTGTAATGAACCGATCCGTAAGAACCGGGACTCACAAGTGATCCGAACTTCCCACCTCTAGGCCGGCTAGTACTCGTCTTGCTAGACTTGCCTTCCCGTCCCGCCTTGCCTCTGTGGCGTGGTGGAAGAGTTAGCGATGTCGTGCTCGTATCCCGTGGTGGCGGTTGTCAAACGCGCAGACCGGTCGCTGCGGTACCTGTACTTTGTACTGATTGCCGCTGCGTACCGTGTCATGTTTCCATCTCGTACATTAATAGATAACTTGGTAGAAGACGTTTCTATGATTTGAGAGGAACAATAATTGTTCTGGCAAATACTTGTTCTCGTGAACGATGGCATATTTTTCAAAAGCTTTTCTGCCATTGATGCTGTATCAAAAGCATCTATAGACTTTAAACCACCAACTAACAACTTAACTTTATTTTAAAAATACTGCAGCATCAATTCTATTCAACTGTGATATATTTTAACTCCTTGCTTTTCTGAGATCATTTTCTTTATTATATTAGCAGTAGAGTTTGAATTTGCAATGCTATCAATGTAATCTCGGAGAGCACAATTATCAGCAACAGATGTAGCTAAAACTGATAAAATAGAATCTACGGAACACTTATTATTTAATATTAATTTCCCAATATTCAGTATTGAAATAGGTTTATGCATTAAAGAGTTTCCATTTTTTAGTAACATTACTGAAGGTATTGAAATTGAGCACCCAAATAAATTAACATATTACAATTGAAACATCGATGAAGACCTGTAGGTAAATTTCCATCATTACACGGCTTACACGAAGATTGAATAACAGAGTTCTTAGTTTTTTCTGATATTGTTTCTTTTACATTATTTTCATCTTCTTCAACACTATTTAGATCAAATATTATATTTTGTCCACTGTCATTATTTTCGATGTTGATTTCATCTATTGTTGTTAGTTCACTTATTTGTGGTGTTGATATGTCTTCATTAAATATACTTCCTTGAACCAGCAAATGGTGTCCTCTGTAATAAGCAGTTCATTTTTCAACAAAAGTGTCCACTCTAAGTAACATTTGTTCATTTTTGAACCCTCTATTCTTTAAGTGGTTGAAATTTTTTTCCAAAACTAAACTTTTCGCCCATAATACCTGACCAACAAAGATAGATCTTACAATAAAAGGCTTTAGTTCTTTAAGATATTGTGTATTGTCATATTCACCTTAAATTTCATTCACAGTAACTCTAACCTTGTCAGCAATTCCTTTTGCCCACTCCTTGAAAGAACTAGTAACATCTGCAACATAATTTTCGCCTTCAAAAACGTCTTTTTCGTTTTCGTTTTCTGTATCACCACAGATATTTAATCGACAAGTTCAATCTCACTAGATGATATAAGATTTTGTAAATATCTTATGCTTTTCACACAATGGGTATCATCATAGTTGTTTGTAGCGTTTAACAATTTAACATCGTATTTACTTAAAATTATACTAAATAGAGATTCTAAAATTTGTTCTGATTCACTAATTGAACTAGAATAAACAAGAAGCCATATAGTACGTTCTATGAGTTGTTTGGTTCGAGTAAATTTTGTGTTTTTTAAAGGAGACCATTGTGTAACCAAATGCATAAAATGGTTAATGTCATTTTTAATCATACATTGAGGTATGGAAATATTTTGATTCTTAAGAACAATAGAGAAACACGCATCCAAATATTCTTCCAACGACTTGTATTGAGTAAAAGCCTGAACTAAAGCAGACATAAGAGCAAGTGATCGGTCACTTATAACTAACTTTGGTGGTTTAATGTTACAAAGAAGCCATCTTTTCAATCACAAATAGACATGCTATCGTGTTGTTCCGATAGCATTGAACAGACCGTGAAAGTTTGGTTATTTATATTCATAACGCCTTCGTAAAGAAAAATGGAACTACTGTATGTACTACAATTTCTTTTAATTTTTTGTACACATCCACCAGTGGTGTTAAAAGATATTGTAGGTGCCGTATTTTTTTCATAATTATCTCTGTATATCTTTAATTGCAAATGGCTCCAAAAATGAACGAAAAATTTATCTAATCCAATATCTCTTATTGTTGAACCATATATTTGAGTACTTTTCATTAAATTTAATGATAATATCGGATCAGGGTGTAATCTAGTCGAAGCGATAGCTTTACTCTTTGTAACTCTTAAACATGATGCCTTGGGATATGATCAGGTATTGGATCACCTATGTTAAAAATGTATATATATATTAGTATATGTTTATCTACATAAATACCAAATAGAAAAGTGAGCAAATATTTCATCTTCATATAATATCATAAACATCTATGCGGGGCCGGAATGATCCATCGGGATACCGAGAAACTTTTTGGTGTAGTTTATAGTTTATAGTTTATAGTTTATATGTAGTTATAGTTTATATAATGGATCTTTTAGTTTTTAAAAATATCTTTTGCTTTTTCTAGTTGATCTTCTAGTGCTGATCCAGTAAAGTAAAGTGTCATGGAATCAAACTGTTCAAGCAATCTCTTAATTACAGATAATAATGATAACCAACGTGTCTGACTAGGTTGAAGTAGTTTATGTGGCTTGATATCTAAAAATGACTGGAATTCAGCATAATACGCTAAGCGCTTAGGACTCGTGTTCAAGAATTTATAAATATTTCTCACATTATCCTCAAACCACGATGGTATCATCAAACAAGCATATGATGCACACAGATGGAAACTATGACATATGCATTCCATAATAAATATGAGTGGAATCTTTTCTTTATATCTTGATGCAACCGAATTATATTTTTTGTATAATCAATATTATTAGTTTTAAAAAACTCAATAATATGATTGAACAAAGTTTTGGCATTAGCCGAATGAATTGGAATAAGCGATAAAAAGTAATTACTTGTAGTGAAATCACTATTTACAACGCGGGCAACCAATGCCATGTGCTTTATAATAGATCGGTCCGTACTCTCATCTGCTATGATAGAAAAATAATTATTTCGCAAGCAGAGAATAAGGTTATTTTTTTCTACTTTTCTAATAACATTTTTAATAATTGCTTCAGATTTCGTTTTATCACAAGAAACATTTTCATCTAATTTTGAATCTGGGCACATTTTTGGAAGGAGTTTATTTAAATGAGTCATCGAGTTGAAAGGAATATTATGCTCCACTCCATAAGCACATAGATATAATTCTGCAGATTTTATTTGATTCTCAAACTTTGTACAGTTGCTTACAGATTGCATATTGAAGAGGGATTGTTGTTTTTTAAATGATTTTATAGATTTTAAATGTTTACCTGTAAGAGAATGTCTCACGATTTCTGATTGACCTCCTTTCCCATCACATCTACAACTTTTACAATAAAAGAAGTGTACACCTTTAGAGCTTTTGCTCAGCCATCCTTTAAATTCATTTTCATTTTCCCAACTTGGGCGATATTTTTGGTCATAAAATTTTTTTTTTGGAGGTGTCCGTTGTTCCATATTATTCTCTGTATCAGACATATTCCAAATTTACTATAAAAGATACATACAATAAAATTATATAAAAATTATACATTCATACATATATATTGCATATGGATTAAACTAATATTTTGTATTATGTTACTTACTCGAGGGCTATTAGATATTTTAATTTTTATAATTAAATCTAAAATTATATAATATAATATAATAAAAAAATATATAAAATAATATAATATAATTAAAATAATATGATGTGTTAATTAATTTGATGTTTTAATGTTAGTAACCTTATGTTTAGTTCTAAATGCCAGAACGTAACCGATTTTGATATATTTTACTTACAATATTAATGAAGTGTTAAATAAGTTATTGAAAGTTGTTCAACTCCATCATCACTTAAATACCAAAGTAACTTAAGTAGTTCAAATTTGTCTTTAGCATCAACAAGTAGCTCTTATTCAATGACTTCGACACAAAGTTAAGTAGGTTAGTAAGTAAGTAGGTAAAGGTAAAGGTAGGTAAAGGTAGGTAAAGGCATGGCTAAATATATAGGTATGATCGCAACTTTGTGATACGCAGGTGTCATGGCCGCCACTGGCAGTGATTTTTATCACTTCGATTTATCAGTTTACAGTTATCAAAATAATATAAATATTTATTTCATTTTAAAAATGTATTAAAATAAATATCCAACAGTATTCAAACTTCAAACAAATAGTTAAATATACGTCTAAAATTGTATACTGTTTAATAGTTGATCCTGTTGATAGTTTGATTTTAATTAGTAAGACACGATCATAGTTTAAATGAGGACTTGAAATCAATAACGGGCTAAGTGCCAAAAAGTTGATATTGATTTATTCACAATTTTTTTGAAACCAGAGGAAAATTGTAAAAATAAATTTCAATAACAATGTAAGACCCTTTAATAACTTATACTTAACACTACTCATGCAAAATATAAGTTTAATTTCGCCCCTTAAAATAAAAAAAAAATCTTATACTAAAAAAATTATAAAACGTGTTAAGTCACAGCAGTATATATCGGTAAAAACGTGCCAAGTGCCAAAGAATTTTTTTTTATTTTTTTACAAATTAATTAATTTAATGCAGATATTGGTAATATTAGACTATTTGGTAATATTAGACTTAAGTTTTTACAAATAATAAAAAACGTAGAGAAAAAAATAGCTTCATTTACTTAATTAATTTTTCGAAAAATTCTTTATTTTCTTCTTTTAAAAATGGTAGCATTTGCTGAAGATCTTTTTTTTTTTCGACTGATATTTTATTTTCACATACCAAGGACGGTAAATCCATCTCTTTTATTGTGTTAACTGTCACACCTTTTTTGATGACTTTGCACGCGCTCCAAGCTTCAAGTTCATTGAAAGTAGTCTTGGTTTGCACCACACCGGGCTTGTCTTTTGTTATTTTGAGCCAAGAACATTTTGAAATTTGAAGTTTTCCAGTATTTAAGTACATGTCTGCTGCTTTTTTGAAATCATAGAAATCATTGGGTTCTAATAAAGTGACAATAAACGGGTTATTTGGTGTGGCGTGAACAATGAGTTTTACCAAGTCCATTGGAACTTCACACTTTTCAACTCTTTTACGTTTTTCAATTTGGGCGAAATCTCTGTCACAGGATAGAAAGGAATGCCCAGACACTAGGTACTTATGATTAATTTCGTCAAATTTATCTGTGAGTGTTAAATATATCCATAGAAATAATAACATTTTGTTTTTATTTTGGCCCACACAGTTATCAGACCAAATAGTTAGTTTACGTTTCACTGTTGGATTAGAATTCAATGCTTCAAAAACACATGAAGTGATTTCATTTCCTCCTCGGCCACTCATACCTTCGTGCCATAAGAACATGTGCCCTCTGTTACTGTCACCAAAATGTATACCTAAATTGTAACAGGATAACTGACGCAAGTAAAACATTTGACTATGCGTTAATGAAGGCAAAGATAAGACCTGTTCTAAATCCATTGAAAACATGCAAATATCACTGGTAGGGAGCTGAGACAAAGCTGTGTCTTGTTTCATTTGTTGCCTTGCTTTTTCAGCTTTTTTGTGATGAAGTTCTAACATATTTTTGGTATGTTTATCACGTGGTTTTGCCGCTACTTCTGCTGATAACAAATCACATTTACTGCAAGTATCTGTACGTGGTTTATGGAATGAAATATTTGGGCATTTTTGTTTAAACGTTTCAAAGAAAAACCTGTAGGTAACAGGAGAGTCAGGAAATTTATCTTTAAACGAACGAAATAATCCACTGATATTTAAATCTTGGCTTAAATATTCTTTTTTGCTTTTTTTTCTCCCGTAATGACTCTCATCTCTCGGAAAGGAGTTCACATGCTCTATTATAAGGTTTTTATCTGCATCAGTAAACTTGCTTCTATTCTGCGTATTACCACGAGTTTCAGTATATACAGTCTCTCCCTTTTTTTTTTTTAACACTAGAGTCTCAACTCTGCGTTTAGTAATCCCAAAAACTTCCATAAATAATTTTTTACAGACCTGTATGATGTTGCCCGTTCCATCTGGCATAGAAAAACATACGGTAACTTGCCGTCTGCTGTCCTTCGGATCATCATACTTTCCGTGACGCCTTCTTTTCACCGAAGTAATAATCATCAAACCCATCAAATAAGAATTTTGTTTGCAGTTGTCTTTTAAGGCATAAAAGTCATGAAATAGGAGTTTCTTTTGAGTATATGGAACACTACGACAGTGAAACTTACATTTACAACTGATCTCTTCTTTTGGTTCTTTTTTTCCTTCAACCATAACATTTTTCTTGGTAACGTAAGGTTTTCCTTCACTTCTACGGATTTTTCTTTCATTATGCACTGACTGTTTTTTTGGCATTTTATTAGTAATAAATAGGTAATACTTTGAGTAAAATAAATATACGTGAAAATATACAGGTAATGTGCGTATACCTACCTATTCCGTCTGAACGACCAACATATACTGATAACTGAAATAATTATTTTTATTATAGGACGGATCGCGTAACAGCATGGGAAATAACATTAACATGATCAAAAATAGAAATAATATATTTAGTGGCACTTAGCACGTTATTTCACCACAAAATCCCGGCACATACCACACACGTTATCTAGCGGATGTTTTTACCTATAATATTATTAACCAAGGCACTTAGCCCGTTTCACATGTTATTGGGCTTCGCACTTAGAACATTTTTCTGAAGCTAATCCAAAAATCAACTTTTTGGCACTTAGCCCGTTATTGATTTCAAGTCCTCAAATATTAAAAGTAAATATATTATAAAAATATACGTAAACATCGTTTACACGATCATTTTTTTTTAGCAAATAAATTTTTTGACTTTTGTCCTTTTTACGTCAAATATTTTATTTGCTATTGCTTTGTTCAGATTGTTTAATCTTATGAAAGTTCTTGTCCGTACCAAACAATTAATCACCTCCACTGGAATTTCGTTATTAATTTCTTTGAGGACTAAATCTGTGACTTTTTTATTATACCTGAAATGTAAGTATTTACAATTTTATATTTTATAAACTCATAGATATTATATTTTATACTATTTTCAAAAATCAACAAATATAATTATAGTGATGTAGTACCTATTAAAAATATTTATTTGATGTTGTGTACATACTATATGTTAAGTTGTTAACCAAACCACATAATAATTACAAATACTTATTATTATTAGTTACCTGGTGATTTATTCAATCCATTATTTCCATGAAATATATTGAAAATTGTTTCAATAACATTTGCTACATAAGTAACATCGCTGGATGGTCTTATTAAATTGACTTTCGTCATTTGCTCGGTCCAACTTGAATTATTTTCGTTGCAATGGTATACTTTCTCTCCCAAGTATGGATACTTGCTTATAAACTTTTTAACTACCGATCCTATAATATATTCAATGCACTCTTTTTCAATTTCAGACATTTCATGAACTTCCATCAACGACTGAAATTTAAATAGATAATATACTACGCCATTGCTCATTAAAATACTCTATAATGTGCTGGTTAATAAAATATTACGTGTATATCATAATTGTCTAATAATTCTGAATTTGATTCTTCTGTATCTTCAGTATTTCCTCCGAGGTCAGACATAACAGAAGTTAATGCATCATCAGTTATATCTGCTTGAACATCGGTTGGAAAACATTCTATAACTTCAGCATCGTTAAAAATTATTCCAGATAAGCAATTTACCAAACAGCTTTCATCTGTGTCTTGGGTATTATGGTTATTAGTAAATACCATGTTTGAATGCTTACCCAGTAAGTACCATCGTAAACTATTATTAAATAAAAATTAAATAACATTTCAGACTAATTTGACTTGAATATTAAAGAAATTACTTACCAATATTTAAATTCAATTGGTGTCATGTGAGTATTGGAACCAACCATACCTTTTAAATAACTGTATAGGTTTTCCAATACATCTGAATTTACTCGTTTTGTCATAATATAATAAATATCATTGTAATTATTTTTAATATCTATTAAAAGGTTTCTTAAAGATGCGTTAGTGACTAAAATTCCTGGAGGATAATTAATAGAAGAATTGTATACATTTTATTGATTATTCTATCATTAAAAACCATACCAGTTTGAAAAGGTAATCTTTTTTTACTTCCATGTACTTTCATGTTTTCAATTGTTGAATCCATCTTTTTCAGGAGTTCATTCTGACTGTCTTCATCCATACCATAACTTTTGGTGAATTTATCAATTGGCAACTGAGTGTTCAATAGATCAAACCAATCATTGAACAGCTTGATTAATTCTGAAGCCTAGAACCAGTATAGTAAATCAGTGTGCCGCAATAATGGCAGTATTATGATTTGCACATACTTCTTTCCAGTTGTACATAGTAAGCATATTTTTTTACCACAAGATTTCAGTGCTTCAGCTAAACGATTAGAGAAAACTTGTGTAGCTAATTTCACATTTTGCCTTAATGTTCCTGTTACATTTATGTGTTTTTCTGAAAATCTATATGCCAATTCAAATTCTGATTTTTTTGATATTTTCAGATATTCTTCCAAAACATTTTTTCCAACATATACATTTTCTGGGAAATCAAAACCTTTATCAATAAAATGGTTTCTCGCCAATTTCAATAAATGAGGGACATCTGCGAATACATGGACTCTTTTTCTTGACACAGGATTTATGAACCAAGAAGAGGAAGGAGTGATGTCTAAATTCTTCCATAATCCTATATTAGTTGGCCCCATATCGCTTACTAATGCAACAACCTCAAAACCTGAGTTATGAATTTCAGATATAATATTGTACAGCAGGTCTTTTGTCATTGGACACTGAAAATCATAAAATACTGGTTGTTTCCAGGAACATGTAAGCCCTATAAATTAAAAATATGGTATTAGTTTAAATAGGTAACTTATATTTTATAGTTGAACATATTTTATTCAGCTCAAATATAGTTAATTGTTATATTTGTATAAGCAAGGAAGTATTAGCCATTGGGAATCTGAAAGTCTGAAACTTCTATTAGTATTATAATAACATTTATTGTTGTTCATTATTTTAATTTATTTTTAAAGTAGTTAAGTTATGTAACCAACCTCTAGCCATGACAGTTTGGACACACTTGTATGGTCCTAAAATTTGTTCATTTTTTTTATCATACGATATTTTATGAGAAATATACGTTTCATCAAAAGATAAGTCTGTAATTGTGTCATTTCGGCTCATTGATTTTCCTGTTCAGTAAAAAATGTTTTATTGAATAAAAATTACTTATAAATAAAATAAGACTTACCTTTTTCCTTCATCAGGGCTAAAACATCAGTTAACATTCCCTTTTCAACTGAAAATGTAGCTGCCCACTTTCTCAATGTTGATAGACCTTTAAATTAAATCGTAAAATGCAATTTTTTTTTTTTAAATCATCCATAAAAATATTTGCTTACCTGACAGGGGATAATTTTTTTTTTCACGCAAATAAGAATAAGCTTTTGAAGATACACTTCTTAAAGATATAGCTGCAGCAATATCTTCATTTGACCACCTAAAAACTTTTTCTTTTGGATTTAAAATTAGATCAATTTGTGTTGGAGAAAACATTTCTGATAACTTTTCTCTAAAATGTATTTCAAACAGATGTTCTTGTCGTTTCTGGTCATTAGCTGTCAACAATTTTCCTTCTTGTATGGCTATAATATTTTTCAACCTTGTGATTTCTTCCTTCAAACTTTTGTTTTCTACCATTTTATCGTTTAACAGATTCTGTAGTCTTTAAAATGTTAACAAAAGATATAATATAAAACATATTTTTAATTTATTTTTATTAGTTTATTGTTTCAATTAAGTTATATCAATAACTACCTATATGTAAAAACTAAACCAAAATAATTGTTAATAAACACTATTAACTTAACAGATCATGCAAAACAAATAATAAATGTTAAAGAATAATAGTATTATTTCAAAAAATACTTCCCTGTTAATCATATTCATAATGTTTAAGGTTCAACTGTCAACTTCTATCTAAATTATTTTGAGTACACATAGTATTTCTAGTATAGGATAACTAAACACAAATGCCCATTGATTAAAACATAAAGCATTACACATTATTGAAAAAATTCTACGATTTGAGGTAGTAAATACCTTGAAATTTCTTGTGCATCATCTTTGTTTTTTTTCAAATTCCTAGCATATAATTATTTTTGTTAACAAAATACAATTATTTTCACTTCAATGAGCTCATATTTAACACATTTAAATTCTTACCAACTATCTTCAATACTAGGATGCTGAGCATCAATTGTCGATTTTGAACTCGTAGAAATATTAGAACCATTTATGGTTGTACAATAGTGGTCATTTTGAAAAGACATATTAAATAGATCAACTCTAGACAATTAATTAATAAATGTTTTAGTAGTTTAATAGGTACTCATTATTTTATAATTTTTATACCCAATCGATATTTTTAATACTTACCCACTCTCTTCTAAATTTACTAACTCATTATTAAGTGGTTCCTGATGAATCTGTTCCAACCTGTTAGAGTTATTGAATTATATATTATATTTTTGTTTTTAAAGGTAATAAAGTATAATTATTATTACCCGGCATCAACCAAATTAGTTGTTTCAGTTTCTGTTGTATTTTTCTCAACATAATCAATACAACTTGATGTATTCCATACTTTTAAAGTAGGAAGTGCATCAAACTTTAATTTGCGTTTATGCCTTGGTGAAATACCAAGCATAGTTTCAACCAGTGGCTTTGGAATATAGGCATTTTCATCAAAATGCAATGAACAAATTCTCGCTAATTTAATTTAAAAAATAATTTGGTTTTTAAAATATAATTAATTAATATAAAAATTTGGTTTTGAGGTTAAGATCTATTAATTCCAAACTCTTGAAACTGAACAAACTTTTTTTCCTGCAGAAATTTTGTGTATTGTATATAATGCCCTATACAAAGTTTGTCGACTAGTTAGGTACAACTAATTTTAACTCATAAAAAATATTCGATTTATCTATCTCACCACAAGCACTGCTTAATGAGGTAGATTACAAATAATAATACATTGCAACAGTGTTAGTTTTAATTTGTAATTTTTTTTATGTATTATGTAATGTATTCTATTTTTCTTAAATAAAAAAAAATATATACAGACTTTACATTGTGGCTCCACCACATTGTGGTACAATGCCATCATAAATATAGGTATAAAAATGTACCTACACAAGTATTGGATGTATATATTAAACTTCTTACCGTTATTTGTATTTATACCATTTCTATTTTTGCCACAAGAATCAATCCATTTATCACAATAAAAAGAGGTTTTTGGAAATCT